TAAAAGTTAATGAGGGAAACTGACGTCCATCGAACTTGGATTTGAATCGGCATGCGCAAGTGAACAACTTCTCAATGACCCACTGTTCTGATCACCGTATTACATCAATCATCGGCTTCAGATTTAAATACGATAGAAGAGTAACTGAAAGTAATTATTTTCCAAAAAATGCTATGAATAACGTCAAAAACGGGCGTATCATTGAAGGCATCATTCCTTTTTTAACTTGTTTGCATATCACATAAGGGGTCGCCAAAAATCGGAAGGAGTCACTTGCCTGCTCAATTTTCACGCTGTAAATTTTAAACCCAACTTACATAACAGTTATCAAAGAAATACTGCCAGTCACTCAACAAAGCATTTGCAGCCTCAAGAACCGCAGAAGCCGAAGAACTCAGCTTTACGCATACAATTTTGGAATTTTTAACGCTAGGTAAGAGAAGCTCATTGACTCTGAACAATGTTCGTATAAATTTACATCGATAACAAATGACATCCCAGGTAACACTATCAGAAGGAGCACTGACGATCGTGAGAATGCACCGCATTATCGAAAAACAATTTCGTTCTGTTGTCCTTGTTGCCTCCTCTTTCCATTCCCCTTCTTGTTTGCCTCAATTTTTTACTTTTCAGATTTCACTTTATTTTCTTTATTTTCTTGCATATCTTCCCAATGATGATGTCTTACCTACAGAAAGAACATATGAGCTTTCAAATCCACGATCGTTTTGCCCTATGTACATATACGTGATGGTTTCGTTTGTCTCTCACTAAAAGTACGAAAAGGACAACAGCGGACAAACTTTAATGCTTTCCGTCGTTGTCACTTTCAGATTTCAGTCAGCAAAAGCATCAAGTGACCAAGAAAGACTGATTAAAAATGGAGCATGACGATCGAATCAGGATATAAGCCATGCCATTTGGAACAGCATTCATTCATAGCCTAATCTTTCTTTCCAGTTCGCATCACCATGTGTATAAGTTGGTCACTATTCAGGACATATCTCGGCATGGATCCGTGTTTAATCTGCGACATTTTCTAACTGAAACTCAGAAATGGTTATAAAATGATCTTTTTCTACTTTTAAGTAAAATAATTAAAGATATCTGAATCATACTTGTATGACTTTCTTGTATATCTGCGCGGGAAACTGACATTCGGAATAGGGGTACTCGCCAGTTATCATCTCCAGCATACACATGCCAAACGCGTACACGTCCACGCTTTCGTCGTAATGTTCTTCGTACATTTCTGGCGCCATAAATTCAGGCGTTCCTAAATCGAAAAAAATTTGGCAGAGGTCAAAA